CCCCCCCCACCGCCCCCTGCTGAATCCTCCTCCTAGCAATCCCTGGAGGGGCAGCCCCAGCAGCCTCGGCCTCTGCAAGGGCCCCACGGGGAGGCCTTCCAGTGGGAAGCAGGCCCTGGGAAGGGGCCTCTCCTAGGAGGCTCCTGGCCCAACAGCCACAGAAGGGCCCTTGGGCAGGGTGGGGCCCTGGAGAGATTTAGGCTGCAGCCTCCCTCCCTCCCCCCACCCTCGGTTTCTGACCTCTTCCCTTCGGCTGAGTGAAGCGGAGGGGCTGCTCTGGGCCTGGCTGGGGGAAAGGAGAAAGCTGCATCCTGAGGGGGCTGGCGGGGGCCCTGGAGAAATAACAGACACCTGAAGAAACGCATCTTTTTGCTCTTTTAAAGACATCTAAACATTTTTTGGAAAGAACGCTCCTTGCTGACATGCTAGAGGTATATGAGCCGCTTAAAATAACCGGGGTAAAACAAGCGCAAAAGGTGAGCGGGAGTAGTGCAGGTTGCAGGCCCAGCCGGCCTCCCCTCCCTCGCTTGGCTAGAGGTTTCCCCGAAGCTTTGGCTGCCCGGAAGAGCTGCGCGTTAGAGGGCCGAAGCGTCCACCTCGTCGTCCATCGTGGTGGTCTGCCGCTTGTCCTGGGAAGAGACGGGCGAGGAGGCGCCCTCAGCAAAGGCCCCCTCCAGCACCTCCTGCACCGTCTGGCAGACCTTCCTCCTGAACTGCCGTCCCACGAAGACGTAGAGGAGAGGGTTGAGGCAGCTGTTGGCGTAAGCCAGGGCCACGGAGACGCTGTCCCACCACAGCAGGGCCTGGTGAAGGGAGCTCTGGGGAGGCGCCAGGAGGAAGAGCACCCCGGTGACGTGGTAGGGGGCCCAGCAGAGGAAGAAAGTGGCCACCACCAGCAGGATCAGCTGCAGGGCCCTCCGGCGAGGCCCCGCAAAGACCTTGGCCAGCATCTTCCGGGCAATCAGGGCGTAGCACGCGGCCATGACCGCAAAAGGCAGCAGGAAGCCCAAGACGGCTCTGGCGACGGTGGTGGACACAAAGACGCCGGGCGGTTGGGCTTCAGGGAAATAATCGGCCGGTTGGTCCTGGAACTGGGGAATGCTGGCCGTGGAAAAACTCGGATGGACCCCGGGAAACCCGTGCAGCGTGAAAGGAGCCACCGTAACTGGCCTCCTCCTCCTCGTCAACTCTGCCCCTGTCTTGTTTGCAGAAGGGTGCAATAGCCCCAACCCTCTGGCTGTGCTGACAGTGGGGTGGTAGGAGGGCTGTGGGTCGGGGTTCCCACCTGGGAAGAGACCGTCGTAGGCGCTTTCGGTGGGCAAGAGGACGGCGTCTTCTGGGTCCCACAGATCATCGACCCACTGGTAATCCTCGTGTCCCCCCGTTGTCCCCCAGTTGTTGATGCACCTGGTGTTGCCAGATTCATCCTCCAGGGTATCCCGGTAGAAGAAGGAAGGGCAGCACAGAAGGAAGGCGAGGACCCAGATAACACCGCAGATGGCGGACGCCAGCCTGGCCGTCCGGTGATTCTGGCACCAGACGGGTTTGGTCACCAGGAGGCACCGGTCAAGGCTGATGGCGGTGAGGAGGAAGACGCTGGCAAACATGTTGAAAATGACGGCCGAGGGGAGAACCTTGCAGAGGAGCCAGCCGAAGGGCCAGCGCTCCCCGAGGGCCAGCTGGGCGATGGAGAAGGGCAAGGAGAGGCAGCAGACGAAGTCGGCGATTGCCAAGTGCAGGAACCAGACCGTGTTGACCGTCCGCTTCATCTTCAGGGCGATCGCCCAGATGACCAGGCCGTTCCCAGGGAAGCCCAAGAGGAAGGTGATGGAGAAAATGGCCAGAGAACCGGCCGAGGGGGGAGGCAGCAGCGGGGAAGCCTCACTGGCTCCGTCTGCGCTGCCGTTTGCTGGGAGCGGAGCCATCGCCTGGCACAAAGGGAAGCCTGGAAAAAGTTTTGAAACCTTACCTGGGGCTGCAGGTGGAGGGGGGGG